TAAAATCATCTTAACGTCGCCTCAGTTCGTAGTGGAACCCGCTGTAAAAATGTCTATAAGTGCGGGTTCTACGGCATTTTGGTAGGCCTCGTATTTCAGCGGGTTCCACGACGGAAAAAATGAAAACATTTGAGAGCGGGTTCCACGACAAACGGCTGGCAGATGAAATAGGGAGAGAGAGAATTCTATTTTTAGATCGTAACATCTTTGGAACGATGAAAGTTTGAAACGTTGTAATCGAACCAATGTAAGAGTAAAGAGATCAGATATATCTTCTACTATCCTTACTTGTCAACTTTGTTTTTGGTATAGATTCTAGCGCCTCCTTTAAGACCAATTTTAAGTATCATAAAATCAACTTCGAGGGTAGCCTAGATGGATAGTGCGTGGTCCTTATTCATGGGGTCCTGGGTTCGACTTCATTAGCGGGCGGTTGTTTCGATTTTGATAAAGTTTTAGTTTTATGATTCTTTTTATATTTACTTTTATATTTTTAATTTTTTATTTTTACTTTTAATTTTTACGTTATTATTATTATTTTTAATTGCATTCTATAACAATTAAAGTAAAAAAAAGTGACGGACGTGTCGGATGACAAAATGCCGGAAGGACTCCCTTAAAATTTTATTCCGCAAAAATAAAAAAAAATAATTATAAAAGAACGAAAAAGTTCAAAGTCCTTACGAGAATTGGAACACAGAAAAATTACACATAGAGTAACTACTCTATGCATTACGCTACCATCCTGTCTCGATCTGCGGCGATCAAAAATACTATTTCTTCTACCAAGTACCACATCGGCGCATCGAAAACAGAAACGAGAAATAGAAATTGAAATTTAGAAGCCAAAACATTTTTACTCCGTCGTTCGAGCAGTCACACATACACACATAGGTTCACATTTTTTTTGACGGATACATGTAATGAGTTCTAAAAATAGAATCGTATGCATGTGCGTTTCCCCCCTCACCAACAAGCTCGACGAAAAAAGTTGACCGTTTTGGGCCCTGATGTCCCATCTATGTACTTTATAATCTTTGCTTAAAGAATACGCAATAAAAATAAAAGGCGCTTCAGAAATTTCCAATTTATGGAGGCGGAAAAGAGCGTAGCAAAAATTTGGAACAGATTTGAACTGCGTGGGCATTATAGGAGTCTCCATGCCAAATACTTTCGCTCTATCTTTTAAGTCTCTGAGAAAAAGTATCTTTAAAAATACATTTTTTTGTGTAATTTCTCATACCTTTCTTATACCTATAAAATGTAATTTTAAATGTTATGCCTTTCTTATGTAATTTCTTACACCTTTCTAATACCTATAAAATATTTTCGTCATCAAATTTGATATTTCCAAATTTGGGCTTGGCATGCAGGTTTGCCCTCGGGATTTACCTCCTCAAAAGGTTTTTAATTTGATTTACCCCTTGGACATCAACAGAGAACATGTATAGGACTATATATGTATATTGTATACGGACTACATTAAAAATGTAACCATGCCTTTTACATAACTCGAACTTGGACAGCCCCTAATCACTTTAGCGCCTATTCAATCTATTCCAGACTTTAAAGGTATCTTTAAATTGATCTTAATTGAGCTATATTGCTCTCATTAAATTTTTATATAGACAATAAAGAAAATAAAGAATTGATTCAGTAACAGTATAACAATTCAATAGACTCTCTCTTTTGTTTTTCGTAGTTTTAGGCCAAAAGTGTGTTTAGGATTGAAGACGATTTCTTTGAACCTTTAAAATAAATAAATTCCTGATTAGGTCAGCTTCGGAGTCGATATAAACATGTACATACGTCTGTTTGTTTCTACGCGAACTAGTCTTACAGTTTTAGAGATATTGACTTTGTAAGCATCCTTTTTATACCCGGTATTCGTAAAGTAAAAGGCTATATTGTAGTCGTGTAAATGTATGTAACATAGAGAAGGAATCATCACCGACCCAATAAAGTTTATATATTCTTGATCAGCATCATCAGCCAAGTCGATATAGCCGTGTCTGTCTGTCCGTATGAACGCGTGGATCCAAGAGACTAAAAGAGAAAAAGCTAGGATTTGACATGGCCAAATAATGACTACGCAGTTAAAGTTTGTTTAAAATTTTTGACTACCTTTTGATGCCAATTTTTAGGAGGTATACCTATAGTACATATGCATTTCCCATACAAAGGTATATCTCTTGGACTTCAATGACTATAAAAGATAAGTGATAGTGCTGTTACTTTAAATTGAACGTAGTATTTTTTGGTCGTCTAACATCGGGGGTCAACAAATCCTTCTCATCAGTCCTAAGGACCTTCTTAAATTTTTGCAGGATCTGTAGTTTCTTGGCAGCAATCAGAGTCTCTAATCAATATGTTTGCAGAGGATCTCTTCTAGATCGAGTATACCACTTATGAAACGTCATGCTCTCAGCCTACTTTCTTCCATTCGTTACTAATTCTAATGCATTAAAACAGTGGTCGGCACGGCCCTATCCCGAGGGCATAGGAAATTTCTCTGCCCGAGCTCTGCCACACACACACAGTATAAATGTGTGAAACGTCATGCTCACAGCCTACTTTCTGCTATTCGTTACTAACACTCATGCGTTTAAATCATATCAATGTATTGGTGCCGACCACTGCATTAAAATGATAATAATGTATAGGGTGCAGACCACTGCATTTTGTCTCAAAAGCCGAAATTTTTTTTTTTTGTGTGAAATAATTCAATATTTTCAGGTAATTCAGCTTTTCAATGTCGTTTTGTTTAAGCATAAAAACACGGGAAAATGTTCACAACTTGCATCTAGTGAGGCAATTAAAGCTAACATTTAAAGCTAAAAGTGTCTTTATAGAAAATATAGATCAAGGTATGTACGTACATTTTTAATTTTAAAGGTTTTTCTATATTTATATGTATATGTTTCTATTGCTTTATCCAATGTGTTGCAAATATGTTGTTCTAGGTTATTCTAACAAAAGTAGATGTGTTCTGATAAGGTTTTCTTTTAAGTGCCTCTAAGTGCCTTGGAAAGGTTTAAATGCAACGTTTTTAACAAATTACTATAAAATAAATTTTTAGTAATGGTTTTTTGCCACTTTTCGAAAAAACAATACATGTTGCAGGTTTTTATGAGTTCTCTAATGCAGCGTTCCGGAAGGACGACGCAGTTAGAGGTTTAAAATTAATTTAATAACTAATGAATCCATATTTAGTAAAAGTTTTAGTTCTTTTTAAGAAAAACTTAAGTTTATGTAAAAATTAAGTAATAATGGAAATATGGCGCACTCTTGATATAGGCGGCGGGCATAGGCGTGGTCAAATTTCAAAAACAACAAAATTCGACAAAAATAGTTTAAGCATAAATTTGAGCGCAGGATCTCTAATTTATTGGAGTTTATACAAAAAAAACGGCTTTTCGGCCCAACATCAAGGGCCGAGAAAATCAACCAATTTTTTGTTTTTATATTCTATGAAGCCTGGAAGCCCTATTGAACGAACGTCTATTTTTGTAGTCGGTCCTATGAGCCTTGTTAAAATCAAATCGATTTTGTTGATCCTACGCATTCATATGCATATGCATTCCCATCATAGAGGGGAACGGGTTCTCTGGGTTAAAAAGATTAAGACTGTGGTTAAGACTAAATAAAGCAAAAAAAAATGATGAATTTTCAATGTCACAAGCCAAAAAAAAACAAAATTAAATTCAATCTTTCCCTAAAATATCGGCTTTTTAAAAAATCCTTTAAAAGGGATGTTTAAAAGGGAAACATCAAAACTAATTTGTGGATTTTTGTCAAATTTTCTGCTTCTAGAAGTTCCACTCTAAAAAGCAGATTGAAATAAAAAAATTTTGGTTATACATATATACATATGTACATACATGCACATATATACAAAAAAGCTACATATTTATCCATCATTAAAATATAAGAATCAGCCAACTATGTATATTTTTTAGCTGCCATGTAACAAAACGACAGGTAAGGTAATCAATTTTGTTTTTTTATACACAATTAAAATAAATTTATAAATATAATATTATAAAATATATATATGTATATAATTTATATTATATACATTCATACATACAAATTTAAATCGAACTCATATGTGCCTATCTTAAAATACAAGTTTCTTTTTAATTGTAATTTATCCGTCCGAAAATTTCCTTTTTCTTTATTTCAATTTTTTTTTACTCGTACGAATGGGACTGAGCTGCATTTCTAGATTTATTCACGCCCACTAAAGGGTTCACCATAAAATTCTAATTGAAACGTGAAGGCTTAAACAAAAATTAAAGTTAAAAGTAGTTCGTAGGACAAGCAAAAATCATATTTGTACATTATAACATATTACTCAATATTCTATTCAGCTAAGGTATCATTAAAAAATTTAATTATTGTTCATAATTCCGGACAGATTTTAAATGTAACTTTTGAATGATTGATAATAAAAAAAAAAAAAAAATAAAAAAATAAAAAAATTTTTACTAAGCAACTATAAGTGTTTATACAAATTATATTATACAAATTTTTTAGATTATATGTAAATAAATATACAGTATATACACATATAAGTAGAAAGTAAAAAAAATATTTTTTTATAAAAAAAATTTGCATATTTGCGGCAAAAATGTTTATTAATTTAATAGTATTAAATATTTTATCCCGAACATGTATATTTTTTTCTTATACACTAATTTTTTTATTCACGCATATATACATATTATGTATTTGAGTGTATGCATGCTTTTATATTCTAGTTTAACATGTTTGAAATATTTTTAATTCACGAATTTTTGAATAAATACTTCTGAGCTCATAGTACTATTAATATAAAATAATTTCCCTCAACTATGTTTCAGAAATGTTGAGTACTTGATAAGAATTATAGAATGGGATCAACAGCCTCTCTTTAATTGACAATGCGTCAGCTGTTTTTGTTTTTTTCATATCGCCTTAATATATTAGAATTTTAAATCCTTTGTATGTTTACTTACCTAGAACTTGATTATTTAGCTACAGTAAATTCGTCCTTTGTAATGTCTATCTATGACGTACAAGACGTAAACGCACACCACGTTTTTGTTCAATTTATTGTTCTTTGTCGAGTAAGGGGGTTACATGGCACGCACAGGTTTTTCCGATCATTTCTTAAGCCATGAACAACACGGGTAACATTTTTTAAAATGATATTTTTGTATTTACAATGGCGGGCACGACTTGTTATTATTTGCTAATATCATTTAAAATATATACAAAACAAAGGGTGAAAAATAAAGGCAGTTCGATGATTTAATGTGCACCAATGTATCGCACTGGAAATCATCTAAAGGAGCTAACGCTTCCCGCTGACAAACAGTATTTAATATTTCTAGTGGTTTCAGACTGACATATGTTATCGAGATAACAAAAGTAGCTACATATGTATATTAAAAGTTTTACATCGATGGAGATGTTTTAGAGAGACTAACCACCAGTTTCTAAGTCTTAATTTAAAATATTATTTAAATAAAAATTTTAAAAAGAGGGAATACTTGGGTCGGAACAGACATACATAGTTGAGTGGAAATTTTAAAGAATACATGTGCTTGAGTTTAATTTTTTTGAACTAATTTTAAAGGTGTTACCCCTAGGGCACTTACGACTTCCCACTATCATTCGAAGTACATATTTTGGAATGAGCTTTTTGAAAATATCTAAACTGCTGTCAGCAGCGTTTTCAATTTAGCTATTTCCCTGATAGGTCTGGCGGTTTTCAAAAGCATATGGCGGGATATATTAAAATCTGGCGGATAGCTATTTTAAAAACAAAACTGAAGGAACGAGTCCATCTGGTACCTTCTTGTATTTTTATGTGTTACGATGCCACACTTTAATACTGGCAGTATTTTTGCATTGGAATGGTAAAAAAAACATCGATATGCCAAAAGATCTTTATATTCTTATCGATTTTCATTAGTTTTAGACCATCACCATCTGGGTATTTCACAATTTTTAAGACGTTCATGAGTGACAGTTAAAATTCCCAAGATATGTGAACAAAAACCGATGCTTGCAACAGAAATTCAGCAGATAAGGGGGACTTGATTGAAAAAATTTCAGAACTTCTCAAAAATACTTAATAAATAAATAAAATTAATAAAAATATTGTTATACTAACGTAGCTTTATATTTTAAGTATCGTCCTTATTTACTGACAGCGTCTATCTTTTTTCATATGTTAGCCTTTTTATGACCAGAAGAATAGTCAACACTGGCTGGCAGAGCCGAAATGGCCCTACAGCAGTGGTCGGCAGGGCCCTATTCCAGTGGCATGAAAAATTTCTCTGCCCGATTTCTGCGGCTCACAAACAGTATAAAACAGTGGTCGGCACCCCAATACATTGATATGATTTTACCGCATTAGTGTTAGTAACGAATAGCAGAAAGTAGGCTGTGAGCATGACGTTTCACACATTTATACTGTGTGTGTGTGGCAGAGCTCGGGCAGAGAAATTTCCTATGCCCCCGAGATAGGGCCGTGCCGACCTCTGGTATAAAACATGTGAAACGTCATGCTCGCAGCCTACTTTCTGCTATCCTTTAAGGGTGTAGATTGAAAAAATCTTTTTTTTTCTTTTTTTGGTTATACTTTTTTTGGTATTTTGGTTATATATACAATTATTATAATTATATATATATAATTATAATAGATTATTCTTTTGTAAGGTTATGGCTCTGTCCCGTACTAGAATGAAATATTTTCATCAATAAACAACAAAATGGCGAACTCACAAAAAAAAAAATTTTTTTTAATTTTAAAAATTTATTTTAAATTAATGATAAATAAAAAACTACTTTTACTGTTACTTTTTCGAACAAAATATGCAAATTTCAGCTAGATCGGTACCATAGAATTTTGTGAATCACCTGCGCCGCACACATAAATGTCGTTCCGAGAAAAACGAGTTGAAAGTTTAGACGCTACCGAGTACCTCATACTATTCGGGGTGGGCGCGCTCTCGATTATGGGCTGTCATTATTCATCTTTGTCATTATTTGATATTTATACCCTTGCAGAGGGTATTATAATTTTGGTCAAAAGTGTGCAACGCAGTGAAGGAGACATCTCCGACCCTATAAAGTATATATACATATTCTTGATCAGGATCACCTCCTGAGTTGATTTGACCATGTCCGTCTGTCCGTCTGTTTCTACGCGATCTAGTCTCTCAGTTTTAATGCTATCGACTTGAAACTTTGCACACACCCTTCTTTCCTCTGCACGCAGTATATTAGTCGGAACGGCTTGGATCGGCCGACTATATCCTTTAGCTGCCATATAACTGATTGATCGGAAATGGTATAACTTTGGTGTTTTTAGAGTTAGAGAGTTTGAATTTGACACAAGAGCTATTTTTGGCAAAACATTACGACATGCCAAATTTCATAAGGATCGGTCGACTATATAGCTCTTATAGCTGCCATATAACTGAACGATCAAAAATGACCCAAATTTCGTGTTTTTGAAGATAGAAAGCTGAAACTTAGTACAGATTCTATTTTTGGTCAGTTGATTCAACCTACCAAATTTCATTAGGATCGACCAACTTTATCCTATAGCTGTCATATAACTGAACGATCGGAAATAGTATTTGGTAGAAATGTCAACTTTCGTATTTTTGAAGATAAAAGCTTGGGACTTTTTTTAGATTTTTTATTTTAGTTAATTGGTTTATTATGATCAAATCATAAGATTTGGCATCTCACAAAAGAAGATGAGAGAGCTTCTAAATATTTTGAGCGTGCTCACACTGTCTAGAAGTGACCTGTGCAGACCTGTGCACGCGGGCTATGGAAAATGAGTATTTGCCAGTGGTGGGTTTTAGAGATGGAGACATCAATGTTGTTGGAAATCAATGTTTCATCGATTTCGGAAAAATTAAAAAAAAAAAAACATTACAAATTTCAATTGTCCTTTTTGCTCGAAAACCAAAAAAATCATATCTTTTTTTAAGTTGTATTCAGTATTTATGTCTGGTCATTCTGGTCTGGTTTTCGATGCCGTAAATCCGCTTCAAAAAACAAAGTCGAATTTAAGTATTGCACGTTATAATTATTTACTCTGCAGGCAGATGAAACTGGGATTAACAATTGTGATCATCCAGCTTATGGTGCTAAGCAGTGACAATAATATGGACAGACAGTGCGGCCCGACTAGACATACGCGAAGCTAAAGCTCTTGATAGCGGAGAAGGCGGCCCGACATAGACATTGCGAAGCTAAGGCTATCTTAAAATAGTCCCGTTGAAGTCGAGCGGCCGAGAAAGAGTCGGCTTGCGATCATCTAAGGCAATATGGCCATATTTTAGCTTAATAAATAAACTATAAACTGATTCAGCGGCTGCTGCCTGACCCGACAGGTTATACAACAATAATATAAAATATAAATTCTTAAGTAGAGATGGAAAAATATTGATTGATTGATATATGAGGGTATATATATAAAATATAAGGTAGTTTTTTAGGTTTTGCCAATAAAGCATAGTATTGAGTTGACGAAAATCCGCTGTTGAAATTCTGATAGCGATTTTGTACTTTATTCGGCTGCCGAGGTAGTGTGACCAAAAAAATGAAGAAATAAGGTAATACTGAACAGCTGTTGTTTGTAAACAAAAAACCAATAAGCAAAAATGAATTCAAAACGATTGGATGTTGGTGTTTTGTTTATGTATTTTGCCGCTAAGGAGCTGATTAAGAAAAAGAAAACTGGGTCAAAATCAAAATCAAAATCAATCACAAATCATTTCAATGCCATTTTATTGAATTAAAATGCCCCTTGTGGGTCAAATCCCATATTATGGGCTTCGTCTTGACCGCAGAAATGAATTTTAATTTGTCCTGGCGCGTCGAAAATTTTTCGGGCCGACTTTTTTTTTGTTTGGTCAATTGACCCTCCATGTCACACCTATAAAAATAAATTGAAATATTTATTTTAACACCCCGAGAGCAGCTGTTTATTTTTTTTGATCCGGCAACACGATTAAAATCGATAACAAAAATTTTCGTCAACTCAGTACCCGCAAAATCTAGAAGGCAAACATTTCTTCTTCTTTCCTTTTTTACACCGTTTTTTTTATATGGAGTTTGACAGCTGTCACTCGTTGGACAGCGGATTTTCGTCAACTCAGTACTATGCTTTACCCATAAAACGAAACCTCCATACAACCGGTATACCGTTTCATACCCAATATGGAAGCCTGATACTGCGGAAGCCCAATATGGAAGCCTTTCTTTCACAAAGCACTGATATCTCTTCTCTTCTGATCTCTCTCTCTCTACTACTTCTTCCCTTATATTATAACCACAGACAAAATAAAAAAAAAAAACAAGAAAGGAAAGCTAACTTCGGGCGGAGCCGAAGTTGATATACCCCTGCAGTTAAAACCGGATATATATCGCAAACATCGGATACAGTTGGCCGATCCTTATGATTCATAATAACACCAATTACCTAAAATAAAAAATTTAAAAAAAGAAAGTTGGCATTTCTACCAAATACTATTTCCGATCGTTCAGTTATATGGCAGCTATAGGATATAGTTGGCCGATCCTAATGAAATTTGGTAGGTTGGATCAACTGACCAAAAATAGAATCTGAAATAAGTTTCAGCTTTCTATCTTCAAAAACACGAAAGTTGGGTCATTTTCGATCGTTCAGTTATATGGCAGCTATAAGATATAGTCGACCGATCCTTATGAAATTTGACATGTCGTAATGTTTTGCCAAAAATAGCTCTTGTGTCAAATTTGAACTCTATAACTCTAAAAACCCTCTAAAAGGTATACCATGTTCGCTCAATCAGTTATATAGCAGCTAAAGGATATAGTCGGCCGGGCCGGCCCGTTCCGACTTATATACTGCGTGCAAAGGAAAGAAGGGTGGGTGCAAAGTTTCAAGACGATAGCTTTAAAACTGAGAGACTAGTTCGCGTAGAAACAGACAGACAGACGGACATGCTCATATCAACTCAGGAGGTGATCTTGATCAAGAATATATATACTTTATAGGGTCGGAGATGTCTCCATCACTGCGTTGCACACTTGTGACCAAAATTATAATACCCTCTGCAAGGGTATAAATATTAAAAAAAACGTGATTATTACTATCAGATGGAAAATGCACAAAGTTTAATTTTTTTTCCCCTTTGCACCGGCATTCACCATGTGACTTGCAGATTCAGAGGCAGGTTGCGAAATATAATAGCTTCTCCTAGGAATAAAGGATAGGAATAAAGCAAAAACGAATTTATATTAGCTTATTACAGGAAATGACGCTTATTAAATCGTTCATGTGCGAAAACATCGATGAAGCTCTACTTCGTAGCGAGC